GAATTTAACCAATTATTATTATTGTTATCAATATCATAACCCTTTTCTCTTCAATCAAGTTCATTCAAATTGTCTTTCCAAAGAACAATAAAATTTGGAATTAATTGGTGAAATAAGTATGGAAGCCAAAGTTAAACAGCTAACCAAACCAGTATATCTAGCCTTGGTTGTTTATTTTATTATTTAAACAATTGATATAGGTATTACTTTTATATTGATTCAATTGATTGTGTTGAAACTTTGGTAATAATAATAATAATAATAATAATAATAATAATAATAATAATAATAATAATAATAATAATAACGAAGTTGTTAATGTTAAAAATATTTCTTCGAAATCAACACAAGCACTTTAATGATACCCACAAGCCTTTGGCTTCACTTAGATGCAACAATAACTCCATCTATTGTCAAAGAAATATGAGAAATATGATAAAATTTTGCAAATGTAACGGTCATTAATAGGGTCAATTAATTTAGTATTATGGTCAATCCGTGGGTCAAATGTTGGTTAGGTTTAATAGAGTCAAATCTATTAATAGTCAACGATTTATTAGGGAGGGGAACCAAAAATTTTGTTACAGTAGACAGTTTCAATGTTTTTAATGTTAGTATATATTAAGAGTCAAATTATGTTCTGTTATTGCAAACTTTAGGGTCAAGTTATATATTAAACTTAATTTTGGTCTGGTTAAATCGTATAACAAACAGGAATTTTTGTCAATGACCTATCTATGAAGTTTGCGAGGTCCTGTTTGAATATTGACAAGCCAATTTAATTTAAAAAAGTCAATTTCTTGATTAAAGCAGATTATATATATTATTTTTTAAAGATGATGTGGTGGAACCAGTACATAAACTTCATTTTTGGGAACTAGAAAATAAATAAATAAATTGATAAATATATTTAAAATTATAATAATGATGATAATACTATAATACCTTTCTCACCAAACACATTTGAAAGCTTTTGACGCTTAGCATTACTAAAAGAATATACATTTCTTTTACTTTTATTCGTCTGGTCATAACCACTTAAATCTATAATAATAATAGTATTATTATTATTATTATTATTATTATTGGAAAAAATTTTTTTTTAAAAGTATAGAATAATTACCAGAATTGGAATCAGCAGATTTTTGTTTTCTTGGTCTTGATAATTTTGTAACTTTCTCTTTAACTGTGTGTTTTATTTTCCACCATGTACCAGGAGGTCGAACAGAACGACCAGATTTGGTCTTTGCCTCAGATTCAGAACTTTTATTACATTCAATTTCAACAACATTGTTGTTATTGTTGTTATTATCAACAGTTTTTTTCATTCTTTTCCTCATAAAGATTAACATCAACACCAACTTCTTTATCATTATCTTTTTTATCGCCAACTTTGTTATCATCATTTTTGTTATTAATATCAATGCTATCATTATTATTAAGATCATGATTAATATTATGATTAATATTATCATGCTTAATGTCACAATTAACATTAAATATAATATCACTATTAATATCATAATTAATATTATCATTATTGATATCATTCTTAGCATCATCATCATCATCATTACTCAATTTTTCATCAAGTTTGAGTTTAGATCCAATAATATCAATTTGGACATGTACCTTTTGGCATGAATATTTAAAATTTTCTAACGTTTGTATATTTTGTTCACGAA